CTGACTCTAATCTGGGAGAACCGGGTTTGATTCCCCATTCCTCCACTTGCACCTGCTGATGTGACCTTGGGTCAGTCACAAGCTCTGGCACAGCTGTCCTTGAAAAAGAGCAGTTTGTGTCAGAGTTCTCTCAGCCCCACCCACCTCACAGGGTGTCTGTTGTGGGGAGGGGAAGGGAAAGGAGTTTGTAAGCCGCTCTGAGACACCTTTGGGTAGTGAAGGGCGGGGTATAAATCCAATCTCTTCTTCTTCTTCTGGTGCCAAGCCCCCCCCCCCTTAGCCTATTGCTGCTTTCTGGATCAGAAGGTGGCACCTACCCTAATGAATGTCCTGCAATTAGGTCCCGTTAAGGCCCTGCCACTACCGTCACAAGACAACAGATGTTCAGAAGGGGTTTGCCATTGCCTGCCTCTGAATAGTGATGATCATGGAATTCCTTGGTGGTCTCCCATCCAAATACTGACCAGGGCCAACCCTGCTTAGCTTCCAAGATTCTGTGGAGATCGGGCTGGTCTGGGCTATCCAGGTCAGGGGTTGGGGGAAGCCCCTAAAAGATTAAAAAACAACAACAAGCGAACCTTGGGCAGGTGACACAAATTGCAAAGTACTTCCGGTCCCGGCATCAATAACTGCGGTTGTACTCCAGCGCTTCTCTTTTAGAAGGAAAACAAAGTTGTACCGGCATAAAATATGGAGCACCATAAACGGCTTCGAGTCTTGCTCAATAACAAGTTAGTACAGATATAAAGATGCATTGCACATGGGCCAGGCAGCCTCATTTCTGGAAGCTCTACTGTCCAGATGTGGCAGCTATATAATGTTATTGAAGCAATAAAACACAATGGTTAGCAGCTGGCAGTGTAAGGAACTCATCTAAAAGAATAGCAGAAGATGGGAAGGCAAAAGGCGCTTGGTGAACAGTCCAAGGCACCCATTAGCTTCAGACAGCCAGTGAATGGTCAATGGTTCCTCCTCTTCCACTTTGACAGCTAGGAGCCATGACGCACTGAGCTTGAGCAGAAAAATTGCAGCCGGGAGATTCATTGCAGCCTCCAAAACAAAGGCTCCTGAGCCAGTTTATTCCTCCACATGGGATCCTTTAAAACTGAGAGCCTTGGTGTCTCTTTTAGCTGAAAGAACCCAGGAGTGATGGTGAAATCAGCTTCAGATACAGCACCATCACATGTGTGTTTCCCAAGCCTAGTTCCCCACCATCTTTTTCAAACCACAAAGGAGTTTATCCTTTTACAGTTTTAAGTACCACGGGGATGGGGAGATTGGTCGTTTGACGAATATGCTGCATCTGCTTAGGGAGGAGGTTTTCGAATTCCCTTCAAAAGAATGCAACAAATGCAACTTCGAAATCTGTATATTGTAAGGATGTGCCTGTGCATTGGCTCGCCAGCTTCCTTGCAAATGCTAACCTTGTTGAGGTGTTGGAGAAGTAAACTGGATGGCGCCTGGATGGCCTTCTGGGGGTGAAGTCATGGTTGCTAGAAGGTTGTGCCTCTCAGACAGAGATTTGCACTGCCAGGAATTTACAATAACTTTGCTCTCTTTGGGGCACTCCAGCACAGAGCACCGATTGCCCTCAAATCACATGCTCATGCAGGGATGTTCCCCTTCGGTGCTATCTGCTAGTGTCTGCTTGCAGAAAGTTGGTGTGGTTGTAGTGGTTAGAATGTCAGGCTAAGTTCAAGTCCTCAGTCAGCCCTGAAGCTCACCTTGAGCCAGTCACCATGCACTCTCTCTCTCCCCCGGCTGAACCAACCTCACAGGCTTGTTGTGGGGGCAGAGTGGATGAGGGCAGAGCCACGTATATCACCAGTTTGGTGCAGTGGTTAAGTGCGTGGACTCTTAAATCTGGGAGAACCGAGTTTGATTCCCCACTCCTCCACTTGCAGCTGCTGGATGACCTTGGGCAAGCCGTAGTTCTGTCAGAGCTTTTCTCTCAAGGACAGTTCTGGAAAGAGCTCTCTCAGCCCCACCTACCTCACAGGGTGTGTGTTGTGGGGAGGGGAAGGGAAAGGAGTTTGTAAGCCGCTCTGAGACTCCGAGTGAAGGGCGGGGTATAAATCCAATCTCTTCTTCTTCTTCTGAATCCCTTAGAGGAAACGTGGGATTAAAATGTGTTAATCCTTATAAACTAACAAGATATTTGAGAGGCAGGCTAAATGAGCTTACCCTAAGTGGTAATACTGAGACCCTCAACAAGAAGTTATGTCCTTTTTTAAAAAAACTGACCACACATTTATTTAACGAGTTCTGTTCGAAGGATTTTGTTCACACTGCTTATTGTTGGCTTTTTAAAAAGGCTGTTTCAGTTTACAGGGCCACAGTGGCTAGCACTGGTTCAGTTAAGGAAGGAAGCCCTTTATCAAGTTAGTCAAGGAATTAAAGAAGAAAAGCAGACCAACACATTAAAACAACAGAATAACATAATTGGGAAAACCGAAGCCCCATCCTCAGCCTTTTCAAATGCACAGTGCAATAAAAGGCTTTAGGTGTGCAAATGTTTTTACAAACTTAATTGGGTAAATGATTAGGGACTGTGGCCTGTACTGCTGTGCATAGCCTATTGTAAGAAGGATGCTGTTATGCCATTTCTGTACCGCTTAGATATGTCATGTGAATACTTATGCTGTGCTGTGCTTCAGTTCTTCCTGGCGGTTCCAGACTTCTAAAATCCTAATGCATTGGTTACTGAATGCCCAGTTTTGTTGACTGTACTGACTCACTGTGCGTAATCCACCTTGAGTCCCTGTGGAAAAGGCAGACAATAAATAATTTAATTTCTTAAAAAATTCAAGGTTGAAATAGACTTGTTCATGTCAGTCTCAGCTAAGGAGGCTGTCTGGAGACATGACAGGCATGTGCATACGTTGAAGCCTCCCTGCAAAGCTCTGTTTGCCGCCACCGAGAGCAGCTCTAAAGATCACTCTTACCTTAAATAAACTGGGATGTGGCCTTCGGTGTGGATTCCTTCTTACCCCGTTTCTCCCTTTGCTGATGCTAAGTAGAAGAAGAAGAAGAAGAGAAGAGGAGATTGGATTTATACCCCGCCCTTCACTACCCAAAGGTATCTCAGAGCGGCTTACAAACTCCTTTCCCTTCCCCTCCCCACAACAGACACCCTGTGAAGTGGGTGGGGCTGAGAGAACTCTGACACAAATTGCTCTTTTTCAAGGACAGCTGTGCCAGAGCTTGCGACTGACCCAAGGTCAATCAGCAGGTGCAAGTGGAGGAGTGGGGAATCAAACCCGGTTCTCACAGATTAGAGTCCGCACACTTAACCACTACACCAAACTGGCTCTCTCTCTCTCACCAAACTTACTCTCAAGTAAACGCTGACCGCAAGGCATTTTGGTTTCCTCTCTGTGTGGAAGTGAAAGGCCATCTTCTCACATAAGGCTTTGGTTTCTCTCTCCATTGTTTCATTAGCAAAAACGGAGTGGTGCATCAAAGGATGGCTCGGCAGCCCGCATCTTCCCTCCACGCCGCTTCCTCGCAGTTGCCTTCGTCTGGCAGGGAAAACGGAAAGCACCGTGTGGCTCACAAGGGGACGTGGAACTCCTGCCATCCCACGTCGCCGGAGGAACAGCGGCACAGCAGCCTCTCTGTCTGGCGCAAAGCGACGGGGGCTGTGTTTAGGTATCACGTTCAAACAATTGCTTGCCGTTTTGCAGCACGCGCAATGGCTTTTATTACGGCGGCAAGGCAAGCATTGCTTCGTATCCATCCCCTGTCCAATGCTCTTATTAAAAAATGTGCCGATTTCTTTCAAGGGAGAGATATGGGAAAGGAAGCGGCTTTGTGATGGGAAGCAAAGAATGCTATTCACCGAACGCTACTGCTGTTCTGCCTGGTGTGGCGGGGTTTGCATGGACCATAATTAAATTTGCACAGGTTGGCTCTCAGTGCCTTAACCCCCAGTGTGGTGGCCGTGGGCACCGTGACGCCTGCAGTATGTTTCCTGGTGCCCACTTGCTTCTTCTGCAAGGTGCCAGTCCTGGCTTTTCTCCACCTCGTTGGCATAGGAGGTGCTTCAGAACAGCTCGGGACATCTCATCTTTGTGCTTTCAGGGAACGCCAGCTGCCTTTATCATAGGAAGAGGCTTGGCACGGAATCTCTGATCTGTTTGTTGAACCT